AGCAAAGGAGATATCAGGCCTAGTTGCACTAGCCAGGTACATCAGCGAGCCAATAATTTGAGAGTATTCCAGTTGATTCCTAGCAATTCTCTTGTTCTTGCGAAGCAACAAGCTAGGATCATAAGGTGTTGGAGAAGGCTTACTATCAATGTAGCCAAAGTGATTCAAGATCTTCTCCACATAATGGGACTGCAAGAGTGTAATCCCATTCTCACATCTAATTAGCTTAATGTTTAGGATAACATCAGCTACTCCCAAATCCTTCATATCAAAATTTTGATACAAGAATGATTTAACCTCATTTATCATCTCAAGGTTTGTCCCAAATATCAGTATGTCATCAACATACAAGCACAGAATAACTCCCTCAACCCCACCATGGAGATAGTACACACATTTATCTGCCTCATTGACTGCAAAGCCTGCAGATGTCAATGTTTTGTCAAATTTCTCATGCCATTGCTTAGGAGCTTGTTTCAGACCATACAAAGACTTCAACAATTTGCACACTTTGCCTTCTTGACCTTCAACTACAAACCCATCAGGTTGATCCATATAGATCTCCTCATCCAGCTCTCCATTAAGAAAAGCAGTCTTAACGTCCATTTGATGAACGAGAAGACCATGTGAGGCTGCTAGGGAAAGTAGCACACGAATTGTGGTCAATCTAGCAACAGGTGAGTAAGTGTCAAAGAAATCTTCGCCTTCTTTCTGAGTATAGCCCTTAGCAACAAGCCGAGCCTTGTACTTTTCAATAGTACCGTCAGGCCTGAGCTTCTTCTTGAACACCCACTTGCACCCCACAGGTTTACACCCATAGGGTCGCTCTGTCACCTCCCAAGTCCCGTTAGCGATAATGGAATCCATTTCACTACGGACAGCCTCCTTCCAGTAGTCTGCATCAGGAGATGCGTATACTTCTGAAATCATCCACGAGGTACACAGTGAAATCATCACCAAAAGACTTAGCTGTCCTTTGACTTGCATATGTTCAGTTTGTTCGTTTGTTCTGGCGGTGTGATTGAACTGGGAATTATTTCAGAGGGTTGGCTAGAACTACTATGTGTATCCTTCATTGGGAAAAAGCTCTCAAAGAAGGTAGCATCACGAGACTCCATAATTGTACCAACATGCATGTCAGGTACCTCAGATTTAACTATTAAAAATCTATAAGCAATGCTGTGGTGAGCATATCCCAGAAAGACACAGTCCACAGTCTTAGGTCCAAGTTTGCGCTTCTTCGTTATTGGTACATTGACTTTCGCCAAGCACCCCCATGTGCGCAAGTAAGAAAGTGATGGTTTTCTCCCAGTCCATATCTCATATGGTGTTTTGTCCTTATTTTTGTTAGGAACTCTATTTAACACATGATTCGAGGTCAATAATGCCTCCTCCCACCATGCCTTAGGTAATCCCGCGGTGTCCAACATGGCATTCACCAAGTCGGTCAGTGTGCGGTTCTTCCTTTCAGCAATCCCATTAGACTCGGGAGAATAGAGAGGCGTCCTCTCATGTATAACGCCATGTTCCTCACAGAATAAGTCAAACTCGTTTGAGAAAAACTCTCCACCACGATCAGACCTAAGTCTTTTTATCTTTCTATCAAGTTGATTTTCAACTTCTGCCTTATAAATTTTAAAATAGTCTAGAGCCTCGTCTTTCGTTTTCAACAAGTACACATCGCAAAATCTAGTAGCATCATCAATCAACGTCATGAAATATCGTTTTCCACCCTTCATCAACACCCCATTCATTTCACAGAGATCTGAGTGTAGAAGTTCTAGAGGTGCCAAGTTTCTCTCCTCAGCAGCCTTGTGAGGCTTGCGAGGTTGCTTTTATTGCACACAACTATGGCACTTAGAACCTTTAACAATGGAAAACTTAGGAATTAAACACATGCTGAAAAGCCGAGACATCAAGCCAAAATTAATATGACATAAACGTGAGTGCCATACATTAGCCTCATCATCCACACTGCCACAAATATGGTTCATAGACTTATTGCAGAAATCAGAAAGAGAAAAGCGGAACAGACCTCCGCACTCATAACCTTTACCAATAAAATATCCATATTTAGACACGACTACTTTATTAGACTCAAAAACCAACTTAAATCCGTCTCTAGTCAGACGGGAGCCACTAACAAGATTCCTGTCGATAGAAGGGACATGCTGCACGTTCTTCAGCTGCACGATCTATCCCGAAGTAAACTTCAGATCTACCGTGCCAACACCATAAACAGAAGCATGTGATCCATTCCCCATTAGGACGGTGGAACCCCGTGCGACCTGATAAGAAGAAAACAATGAGATGTCAGCACAAACATGTACATTGGCCCCTGTATCAACCCACCAATTAGTAGACTGATTAACTGAAAAAACAGTAGGTAAATTACCATACCCGCTTCCATCTCCAGTGTTGCCAATGGTCACATTAGCAGACTTAGAGGTCTGCCCTGCAGGTGCCTTCATCCCCTTGCGTTGTGGACACTTCCTGGCCAGATGGCCAGGTTGACCACACACAAAGCAAGTCCTCTCATCCTGATTAGGATTGTTGTTGTTGTTCTTCTTCTTGAAGTTGGTGGTCTGCTGAGCTTTGTATTTCCCCTTGCTCTTGTTCTGGGCCTTGTGCACAACATTGGCAGTGGACTTCCCACCATTGCCCTTAGACGCGGCATCTTTTTTCCCGAGCTTTCTCCTCAACATCAAGAGATGCTATCAACCCCTCAACGGAGTATTCCTGTCTCTTGTGTTTAAGTGCAGTACCGAAACCTCTCCAAGATGGAGGTAGTTTCGCAATAATGCACCCGGCCACAAATTTGTCGGGTAAGACACACTTAAGGAGTTCGAGTTCCTTAGCCATGGTTTGTATCTCATGAGCCTGTTCGACTACAGAACGGTTGTCAGCCATCTTGTAGTCATGAAACTGCTCCATGATATACAGATCATTGCTAGCATCAGTAACACCGAATTTAGTATCAGTGCATCCCACAACTCCTTAGCGTTGGACATATGCATATACACCTTGACCAGACGATCGCCAAGCACGCTAAGAATGCATCCCACAAAGAGAGTAGTGGCCTCATCGAATTCTTTCTACTGATCAGCGTTAAGAACGCCCATAGGCTTGCCAGTACTCACCCAGAAGCATTTCATAGCTGTCAGCCGCAGGATGACCCTGATCTGCCATCTCTTAAAGTGCACACCGGTAGGCATCAGTGCATCGGCAAAACCAGCCATAGTAAAATCACAACGCCTATAATAAGGTTTTTGGATTGTTGAGAATATAGGCATATAATGATTTAATATATTCCATAAATAAATCATGAGATTACAGATGTATACTAGCATTAACGCATCATTAGATCTACACATGTAAACTAAGCAGTAAAACATGAACAGATCAAATATGCGCAACATGTCGATCACATACCGAGGTGGCGGAAAGACCGGTTGCTCGGCAGGAACTACTCGCGGTTGCGAGCGTCGACGAAGGCGCGCAGCACGCGAGCGGAGAGGAAGGCGAGCCGTCGCGGACGAACAGGGAGCAGTCGCGCGAAGCGCTTCCCAAAAACCTTATTGCCGCCTTCTCCCGGTGCAGGACGTCGAAGGCAGAGGTTCCGGAGACCTACTCTCCCGATCGCAGGTGCACGCCGGCGAGCGGGATGGAGTAGTCTACGGGCAACGGCGCAGCACAGAGGAGGCAAACCCTAGATTGATTTCGTGTGTGTTGCGTGAAGGCGGCGACACGGTTTATATAGAGATAGATCGCTTGATCAGGGCTCCCGCACGATCTACACTCTGCGTAACCGAGCCGGATAAGTCGCGCGTAACTTATCCGGACTCCACGCCGTTTTCACGCACCGGATTTTTCGGAATGTTTCCAACAACAAAACAAATCCGAATTTTCCTGCAGCAAAACAAAACTGCAAAAGGAGGCTGCATCTGTGCAAGGGTGAGGAGCCAATTTTGCGGACCATTCGACACGTACGTCGTGCACGCGCGCCGCCTGCCCTGCTAGGCCAGGCTAGGGGAGGTGAGCGAGCGCGCGCGTGTATTCCCCATCTTCTCTCCACCACACATGCTTCAAGTGGCTAGGAGGGCATCCTCCCTTTTAAGGAGATCCCCCTCTCCTAGAATAAGTAAGGTGGTACTAAATTCCATATGCATGCCATCCCATGAGGTGGGCTTTTGTGATTTTCCAAAGAATTAATCTTCAAATGGGCCTTAGCCTATCTATTAATTCCAACAGGTACTGCAGGAGACGCATGTTCCGCCCCACCACCGCCACCGCCATGCTGCCCTTCCCGATCGAGAGAGACGAAGAAGAGATGTGGAAGGAGAAAAGGGTTGTGCTTGACATGTAGGGTCCACTGTAGTATATGTTTTGCATCTCTCTGACATTTGGGGCCATGCACTGAGTTAGTGATTTTGACCGTGGACAACTTGCCACGTCAACGAAAAACCATTTCTCAAACCACCGAAGGAGTATAAAACTATAAATTGCATCGGTTTTTAAAGTTGAGGGATCTATTATACTCAGTTTTTTGTTTGAGGGGAGCGATTCGATCCACGGTAAGATATGACCGAGGGAAAAATAGACTTATTCCTTCTCAGACAGGCGGCATGGCCCATGGTAGCCACCCAACTTGTTTTCTCCATATCGGCCCATAGTGTTTGTACTCAGTATGTCGGACGCTCCTTGGATGGGCCGTTATGTCGCCAATTTTGTGGAAAAAGTATGGAATAAGTTCATCCGAGGTCCCTTCACTTGTCAACGAATCCGATTTTCGTCCTTCAACCCCAAAACCAGATACGACGGATCCCTCAACTATTAAAACCGGTGCAGATAAGGTCCCTCAGTGGTTTAGAGAGTGGTTTTGGCTGACGTGGCATCTACGTGGCGATTTTGACTCGGTCTTTATCTGACGTTGCGCTGGCGTGACGCTTACGTGGCAATTTGATCCAGAAAAATAATAAAATTGGTGGGACCCACATGTCTGTTTCACACACAAATAATAATAATAATAAGTGGGACCCATGTGGGCCTCACCTGTCATCCTCACTGCTCCCTTCTTCCCGCTATCATCTCTCTCTTCTTTCCTACGATGTGGACTAGGGAGGCGGGCGGAGTGGGGCGACGGCGGCCGGAGCGGCGGCGCACGAAGCAGGCGGGACAGCCGCTCGCCGGTGGCCATCTCGATGATCTCCAGCCCCTCCACCTGCTTCGGCTGCTACCACTGAGACGGGAACGGTGACGGAGCTGAGGCTGACCTCGTCGAGTGCTTGCCCGGCCTCGGCATCGCCGGTATTTGGTCCGACGACAGGCACGTCACGGACCTTCGATGGCGTCGTGTGCCGGTTGTGGCTGCGTCGGCCTCGCTCGCGGCTGGAGCACTAGACGAAGACCCCCCCCCCCCCCCGGCAACTGCTATCAGCGTGGAAGACGAGGCGCGTGAGGTGACCTCGTTGACTGCCTCTGGCTCAGACCACACATCTGGACCTACCGCACCGTCGATGAGGCCTCCGACCACTGGCTGCGGATGTACGGCCACCTCATCAGGTACGGCGAGGACGGCAGAAGCCTTGTCAGGGTGATGAATCTGCACTCCGTCGCAGCAGCAGCCGCCGCCGAAATCCGGTGGTTCGGAAGTGTGTAGAGCGAACATTTGTTTGTCATGATGCATCAGTGTGATGTGAGTGAACATTTTGGCACTGAAATTTGTTCAAATTTCAATGGGATTTACTGAGGGAAATAATGGATTGTATCGTGAGTAGAATTGTAGAAATAGAATCAAACAGCAACTGCAGCAAGCAGTTTCCAATCCCTGTGAAGTCGTGGAGAGGGGAAGGAGAAAATGGCGACGTGCTCACCGTTCACTTCCGGAAGCTGGCGGCCGACCAGATCAAGGGCGCTCGACGCCGACGACGCTCTCCTCCACAGCGCTGCTTGCATCCCGACACCCCGCTCCCGCGCCGCCGCCGCCAGTAACTACCGCTTGCGCCCTGGGGCCCCACGCGCCGCTGACACCCTCCTTGACACCGCCGTCGCTTGCACCATGCGGCCCTGCGAGCCGCCACCACCCTGCTCCCGAGCTGCCGACGCCCGATCGACGCATCGGTGGCCCGGTGCCCTCCTCAAACCCATCACCATCGGCGTCGTCGTCTTCGACAGGGGCGGCGGGGAAGCAGGTGGGGAGAAGCGGGAGCTCGCCCGCCACCACTCATGGCGAGGACGCCGTCGAGGTCGGTGAGCGGCGCGGAGGACAATGGAAAACGTGGCAGGGGCCGCGATGGTGAGGTGTGCGTCCTTCTCCTTGCGGAGGATGCTACTCCTTTCTTGCCGGTCGCCGACCGCCTCCTGCGCATGCGTCCCGCTCCTTTCCTCCCTCCGGCCGGCGCCCGCGCGCCGCTTCTTATCTCTGCAAGCGAGAGGAGGGAGGAGAGGGGAGAGAGATGAAGACGACAAGAGATGGGGAGAGAGGAGGAAGAAGATGAGGGGTGAGAATGACATGTGGGGCCCATGTGGGCCCCACCGTTTTTTATTAATTTGTATATGAAACTGACATGTGGGCTCCACGGGATTTTTTTTTTCGGTCGAATTGCCACGTAAGCGCCACGTCAATGTCACGTCATATGAAGACCGAGTCAAATTCGCCACGTAGGTGACACGTCAGCCAAAACCACCATCTAAACCGCCGAGGGACCTTAACTGTACCAGTTTTGATAGTTGAGGGACCCGTTATATCTGGTTTTGGGGTTTAAGGACGAAAAATCGGATTCGTTGACAAGTCAAGGAACCTCAGATGAACTTATTCCAAAAAGTATCGAGCCCAATATTGTTGGGCCAGAAGCCATCTGCAATTGTCCACCTGTACGCCCGCACGGCCGCGAGGAGGGTGCTGGCCGGGACGATGGGTGCCCGGGCGTTCGGCCGTGTCGCGTCATCGCGTGGAGTGTGGAAGTACACGAGTAGTCGAGTACCACATACTGTCATCACGTAACCCCAATCATTCCCATGATCACGGCCCGTTTATAGACAGAGCACACCTTCCACAGTTTTCACAAGAAAACGTTCCTCTCTTTCGGGACGCCACGTCCGCTGCTGAGCCATCGCCCATCGAGCCTTGCCTTTGACGTGTAGTGAGCTGGTGGCGCTCGCTGCTCGCCGCATTGGGGCGTACTAGTACTACGCACAAACGGTTGGAGTTTATCACTAAGAGCAAGAGCATGTACAATAGCAGACTATAAACCAACTATAAACATATTTTAAGAAGATAAATAAAGAGAGAAGAGTAGTGGGCTACAGATTTATAGCCAGCTGTAGCACGGGCTCTAAGACACGGTGTGTATATGACAGGTGGGACCAGATATTAATAATATAGTGCTCGCGGCGCAATCATGGTGTCCGCTCTGATGTCTGCAAATCGCAGCAGGTAGACTTTACGAATAAAGACAGGGAGAGGGGAAAAAAACTGAAAGTTATAAAAAAAAGGAAAAGAAAACTGAAAAGGTAAAGCAAAGCATATGGGTGCAGTACGAACGTTCTGGGCTCGGAGAGACACGCTGCGTGATGGCAGTACTACCGCGTGGGCGATGTGAGGAATCATACTGATATACACTGTACGATCTTATCCGCTCGCGAGAGTACAGTAAAATTTTTTTTCACTCCGGCCTTTATCAATCGCCGTCCGTTCAATCGGCGTAAGGTGGTGTGCCCCTTTTGGATCAGAAAACGTGCACACTGCGATCCGTGGAGTACTCCGGTAGAATGAGATGCTCTTTTGTGTATCCATCTCTGAAAATCTCAATCGTGTGCCACGGTAAAATCTGTCGGCAAACGAGGAAAGCGATACCTCAAACTCGACGATGGGCGTCGCCGTTTTGCTACTTTTGCTGTAGGCAGTGGAGGTGGGAAGGCTGATCGGACGGACCCGCGCTCCGATCGGGAATCCCGCTGTATTTCTCGTGCGCGAATCATGCCATGTGTCGTCGGGTGCACGCATCAGGCAGTGATCACTCGTCAAACATGCATGTACTGCACCACACAATAGACACTTTCTTTTATTCCGAGATGGACAAAAAGCACAGCAAACACTTTGTTTAATGTGAGAAGAAAAGCTCAGTCTTTCCTCTTGATCTTCCATCCTTCCCCCTCTTTGTTTATACTCCTCCATATCTCTGTCTGTATGAGGCTTGGACATGTGGCGAGCAGGTGACAAGCACACGTACGTGAGGGTAATATTAAACTTCGCCCAAGCTGATTAGGGAGAGAATCACAGAGTGCTTGATCCCCTTGGCCTGGGCTCACAAAGGCAACACGTCAAACAGGTTATCAGTGATGCAAATACTAACAGCTATCTCTCGACCATCCTAGATGTGCAAACCTGCATGATAGGAGTATTGGTTTGTCCAAGAGGCAAAACTACTGAACAGTATCTGTAACAACTGTAGTACATGATACATTGATACGGCCGGTTTATGCTCTGCCTTTTTCTTTATTTTTTCCTCACACGGTGCTTTACTAGCGTGAAGCCAACGCGAACCGATTACCGGTACTCCAAATGACCTCACTGCATTTCTTTTCATTTGAAAAAATGTTGTCGTTGGCAAAACAGAACACACTCTCGAACAAATACACTTCACCCGTTGGGTTGATGGGTTCCAAGTGAAAAATCTCGTCCCAGTAAAAGCTGGGCATACTGCAAACGACAAATTCTGCATTACCTTTAGGAAGGGTTAGATTTTTCTTCGACAGCAGGTGAGGCAGTAATCAGGTCAAGCGTGTGAGGCGTGAGCCATCACTTGGTACAGATGGGTTCCATTTAACCAACCGATCGTCGCTAATCAACACAGCTCATCCGTAATCACGTAATCACGCCCAGCATCCAGAACGTTCCTCCGGTCTGGACCCCACACGCCATGGACACGAGGCACCCCACACCACACCACGCGTTTCGTCTCACCCGGGATTTTTTTTTTCCTTCACTCCAAGCAGTAAATCAGTAACAAATGGGCAGTAAATCCCTTCTATAAATGGGGACCCCCAAGGAGGCGCAGCTTCTCATCGCCTCGTCTCACGTTTGATCCATCACACTCACACAACACAACCCTCCCCAAAACCTCCCGAAGAGAGCAAGATGTTCGGCTTCGGGCACCACGGCCACCATGGCCAAGACCAGCCGCCCCAGCACCACGGCGGCGGCGGCGGCGGCGCGCACCAGCCCACCTTCAAGATCTTCTGCCGCGCCGACGAGGGGTACTGCGTCGCCGTGCGCGAGGGGAACGTCGTCCTCGCCCCGACCAACCCGCGCGACGAGCACCAGCACTGGTACAAGGACATGCGCTTCAGCGCCAAGATCAAGGACGAGGAGGGCAACCCGGCGTTCGCGCTCGTCAACAAGGCCACCGGCCTCGCCATCAAGCACTCCCTCGGCCAGGGCCACCCGGTACGCGCGTGCCGTGAGCCATCTTGATCCGTGGCGCCGTCGCCGTCGGCGTTGGTTTTGCTGACTCACTCTTTGTGTGATGCGTGCGTCGTGGTGGTGGTGGTTTCAGGTGAAGCTGGCGCCGTTCAACCCGGAGTACCCGGACGAGTCGGTGCTGTGGACGGAGAGCGGCGACGTGGGCAAGAGCTTCCGCTGCATCCGCATGCTGAACAACATCCGCCTCAACTTCGACGCGTTCCACGGCGACAAGGACCACGGCGGCGTGCACGACGGCACCACCATCGTGCTCTGGGAGTGGGCCAAGGGCGACAACCAGTGCTGGAAGATCCTCCCCTGGGGCGACGAGGCCTACGCCGGCGGCAGCGCCAACGCACCCCGCGGCGGCAACGAGCCCACCGTCCGCATCTTCTGCAAGGCCGACGAGGGCTTCAGCGTCACCGTCCGCGGCGGCTCCGTCTGCCTCGCCCCCACCAACCCTCGCGACGAGTACCAGCACTGGATCAAGGACATGAGGCACAGCAACAGCATCAAGGACGAGGAAGGCTACCCCGCCTTCGCCCTCGTCAACAGGGTCACCGGCGAGGCCATCAAGCACTCCCAAGGCGAAGGCCACCCTGTAAGCATCCATCCTCACTACTAGTACATCGATCTATCCTTCTTGATTTGCCTGTTAAAAGTGATGAACAAATGCCATGGCTGCTTGTTTGTTTGATCCGATCAAACAGGTGAAGCTGGTGCCGTACAACCCCGGATACCAGGACGAGTCGGTGCTGTGGACGGAGAGCCGCGACGTCGGGCACGGCTTCCGCTGCATCCGCATGGTGAACAACATCTACCTCAACTTCGACGCCCTCCACGGCGACAAGGACCACGGCGGCGTCCGCGACGGCACCACCGTCGCGCTCTGGAAGTGGTGCGAGGGCGACAACCAGCGCTGGAAGATCGTCCCCTGGTGTAAGCTGCCTCATCCCAACATCGCTCGCTGCAACTTGTTTACGAGCACCATTATCAACTTTCTTGATGAGGAGTAGAAATTTTTGCACATTGATTTCACGTAACCGACAGCAACAAGGACGTCATAGAGTGGCCGATAGCTTACCTGCCATCTTTTGAATTGTTAAACTTGCTACTAGTACTAATGATCTCGCCGAAAAGAAAAAGGCTGATATGATGATGCGATCTGGTTGTTGCTTATGTTTGCAGAAATGCGGTGTGCTGGAGCTGCATTGGTCGTCGCCGTGATCTGTGGAGTTGGGAGAGTTTGCGCCCGTGGCCTGCTGCCCTCTGCCTTTGTTGCTAGAATAAAAGTCGTGTGCGATGATCAGTGGTGATGGTCTTGTGTCTGTGTCCGTGTGTAATGCTTTTAGTCGTTTTCTCGAGTCCTGCTTTTGTGACAAAATGGGGGTGAGAGGAGAGGTGTCGTTTCCGTGAACTATCTCGAAGGCGTTTGGCCTTGCAGCTTGTTCTTCAGATGTTCGGAGTTTCAGACCTTTTGATGAGTACCCTGCTTTATCATTTATCAGCCATGTGTCTAGTTCGATCAATATGCATCCTTTGAAGTGGCATTGGTTTGTCTTTGAGGATCAAGATCCTGTGCAGTTGTTATTGTAACTGTAACTTAAGCAGTTACATGTGCATCACATGATCTAGAATGGAAGGCCAGGATGTGAAGTGGTACTGTAGCAGAGATGTACTATTATACCTGTACTGTAGCAGTCATCTAGAGCCACTGGATCTGAAAACGGATGGCCATGATTGAGTGCAGTTGCTATTGTGCAGTTACAATAGCAACTGCATTTGATCTCAATCCGTCTTGGAGGATTAAGGATTTGATTGCTGTCTGATGCTCGTTGCTCGTTCGGAGGTGCTCTGGTGAATCTTTGAGGATTGGCTGGACGAAATGCACCCTTGTTTAGTGCGAACCATGCAAATGTCTTGGAACATGGTGGACATGAAAATGTGGACTACCGGGACCATGCATGCCTGCATTTTACCTGAACCTTATCCTTATTTTCGTGGAGTTGTTACACTTCTTAGAATGAAAATCATTCACCTGACAACAAATTCACAATGCCTATAGGATAGGATTAATACAAGAGTCCATACTGAAAGAACTTCACAAAGAAAACAATGGTATAGCGCCTCATGCATGCGTGACGAGTGTGTCGTCGGAATGCGGGAGACAGTAGCAACTAGCACGCGACGCGGATAGCCTGATCCGGTTTGATACTCGCTGATATCCTCACCACCTGTCACCTGTCTATGACCATATTGATGCAGGAGAGCCGGTGTCCGTGGCCGCCGCGATCATTGCGGCCTACTACTCCCGTACTTGTATTCAATGCGCAAAGAAAGATTGTTTATTCAATTATTGCCGTCAAGCTACCCACGATTAGGGATGAACTTTTATTTTGCGAGGGATTAGCACAAACATTTAGCGTTTGCTTTTCATTGTATTGCATTCTATACCGACTACCCTGGCCTACTACTGTTTAGTGGCAGGCAGGCGTGTCTGTGAAAAGCTGATTCCATGATTCTCACGTGCTAGTCGGTCCCTCGGTGCTTGTATGATGCCCCCAAAGGATTCCTGCCCCGAATATGCTCTCAAGGTTGCAGCGGACAATAACGAGGTCGCCCCGGCGGCCAATCGTCGATGGCCACTATAGTCCCAAGACATCATGAGATCAGGTTTCAATATACGGGGGAATAAGTTCACTTTGACTCCTTTAAGCAGTGATCATTCGTAACCTTTAACCATAATACCGGATATTTTGACCCCTTAATTATTAAAACCAATGTAATTTGGCTATCTTAATGATTTTGGAGGACGATTATGCTGACATGACATCTACGTGACAGTGTTAACCTGGTCTGTGAGGATAACATGGCATTTAGCTGGCATTAGAATTAAAAACATATATATCGGACCCATTCATCATTAAAAAAAATTTGTGAGGTCCTCTCTCTCCCTTCTCTCTTTCTTGGCCGTCTCGAGCCGGACACCACGACGCCCTTGGTGGCTACAACACGCCTCCCGCACTCGCGCCGGCACACCCATCCCTCCGCCACGGCGCCTCGCCGACCACACGCCACACGGCTTCCGGGTCGTACTCCTCGACCGTGCGGTGCGTGTGGACCCACCGACGACGTAGATCCAGTCACCCACGACAGCCGCAACAAACTTCTTCCGCCGGAAGAGCGTGGGCGTGCACTCTCGAGCTGCGCCAGTGAGAGTGGGCGAACACTGAGCCGCCACAATGCAGCGGGGGCGGGGGCAACGACAGCGCGATGACCTCAAGCATGGGCGTAGAGACGTCAAACCGGAGCAGCGCCTATTGGATGCAACCATTCTCGGAGACGGAGAGAGCGAGGAGGGAGGGTGGAGGTAGGTGTGGGCGGTGGGATTGGCGGGGATGCATCACTTGACGAGCCACGAGACTGCTGCTCCCGGCCAACACCGCCGCTCCGGCTCTCACCCGCCCGCCACCGCTGCCACTCCAGATCTCCCCTGAAGACGACCGAGAAATAGAGAGAGAGGGGGAGGAATGAGGAGATAGTGGATGACATGTGGGCCCTAAATTTCAGTGGGACCCACATGTCGATGGGCCCATTTTTTTAATGACGATAGGTCCCACATATATATATTTAATTCTAATACCTTCTAAGTGCCACGTTGATAACAATCCGGCCCAGGTGGGGTTGGCCGAGGCCCAATAACTTAAGGTTGTCCGGACCCCAACAGTTCATTGGCATACCCACTCGGGGAAATGCCAAATCTCCCTAAAAGACTAGTCCAATAGGGGAATGGTGGCTCTCTCAGAGGCTCACACATGGTGGCTCTCTTAGAGGCAGGGGCGGTACCACCCATTAGGCGGGGTTGGGCGGCCGGCCCAGCTACGGCCCGCGCCGCCCCAATCCTCCATATCCTTCTTGGGCCGCCTACCACCACATCCAATTCACAATTGGCCCATAAATAAGCAGCCCAAGTGTCCAAATTTAATCATGCGTATGTGATGCTTTCCTGAGTCAATTCCTCGACACTACTCACCCCCGTCCCCTACTATAGTATAGGTAGGTGCCTAATGTTTTTCTCTCTCTCCCTTCTAAGCAAAATAATAATCATCTTATTCTGGGTATGCGATATCTTCTCATATATTTATTTTTTAAAAGATATCTATTAACCATGCTTTATGAATTGACTCATATTTGCAAATTGATATGTTTACTAGTATCTTTTTATGTATGATGAATTATGTATGGCGTAAAAATTATTACTTTATTTTAATATTTTTTTTTGTTTTCCTTAATTTATTGATTATACTATGATTACAATATAAATATGGTATTTTTTGTGTTTAGTTGTTCTTATTGAGACGAGCATCTTCGCCCCATCTTTATTTTAATCCTGCGTTCGCCACTGCTCAGAGGCTCACACGGTCACCGCCCGACTTTCAGAGGCTCGACTTTTGCGTCTTTGCCAACGGGTAATAGTGGAGGATGTCCTCATCATTCCCACCCCCTTAAACAAGGGCTCGGCTCTGATACCAAATGATAACAATCTGGCCCAGGTGGGGTTGGCCGAGGCCCAATAACTTAAGGTTGCCCGGACCCCAACAGTTCATAAGCACACCCACTCGGGGAAAGACCCAATCTCCCTAAAAGACTAGTCCAATAGAGGAAGGGTGGCTCTCCCTTTAAGGTGGCTTCCTCCTCCCAAGCTAAGTAAGGTGGGATTATTCAGAGGCTCACACGGTCGCCGCCCGACTTTTGCGTCTTTGCCAGCGGGTAATAGTGGAGGATGTCCTCATCACACGTCAACATCACAGGCCATATCAACCTGCCACGTAAACGCCACATCAGCAAAACCGTCATACAAAACTGTCAAGGGAGTAAAATTGCACCAATTTTAATAGTTGGGGGTCGAGATAACTGGTATTATGGTTTGAGGATATGAATCAGACTTGGTCACTAATTAAGTGAGTCAAAGTGAACTTGTTCCATATCTAGGGACCAAAAGCCATAGGAAGATCTCTACTCCAACGGTACAGCCACACGAGAAGGCCAGATTTGTTATGGCCCAAGGCCCAAACGACTAGGACTATAACGGCCTACAGAGTAACAAATACACAAAAGTGAGCGGAAGGAGTCGGAATAAGTTCATCAGCTGTCCCTCAACTTTACGTCGAGTTTGTATAATATCCCTATACTCCAAAACCAGAAATATTCACCCCCTAAATTATGAAACCGTGCAATTTCGATCCCATTACAGCATGGATCTCTGGTTTCACTGACATGGCATCCCAAGCAGCAAAATAAAAACTAAAAAAATTGTGGGACCCATATGTAAATCTCTTCTATGTTGTTCTCTCCTCTCTTCTCTTTTCTTCTTCTGGTGCAGATGGCTTGGCTTCCGGTGCAGACGCGGCTTTTCAGCCTCGCCGCCGACGGCTTGATTCAACACAGATCACTACCTTTTATTTTGTTTATTACTAGGATGCTACGTTAGAGTAATCAAATATCCATACTGCCATGTGACCGAAATTGAACCAGAGATCCATACTACCATGGGACCAAAATTGCATGATTTTATATAGTTTAGGGGTGAAGATTTCTGGTTTGGTGTTTAAGGATGTCATACAAACTCGAAGTAAAGTTGAGGGAAGGCTGGTGACCTTATTCAGAAGGAGTCGCATCGGCCCAAAAGTATTGGCAGAAGATCTCTCGTCCGACCCAGATCCATCCACACAATGGTCCAACAAATTCTCATACGGGGACGGCCCATAGAGAAGGCAATAGCCCAATAAAACCTCCGAATCCACGCGACAGTTTGCACGATGGTGAAAAGTGAAAACGCCACCGGCGCATCGGCATGTTACATGCAACTACGACAGCGAAGGTTACGCAGTCGCCTCCCCGCAACCGTCCAGCCGTTCGCCGCGAATCCAGCGTGTTTGCCGGCGACGCGGCCCGGGGGCCCATGCCCGCTTGATCCGCGTACGGCAACACCGGCAACAGCAACCGCCACCCAAACCGGGCGGATCCGTCCATATCAGGCGCGCTCGGTGAGGTGCACGCGCACAGCCGCAACGAATTCACCGTCAAGAGCGGAGTCCGTCCCCGATCGCTGCGGGATACCGGGGCCGTTTGCTTGCTTCGTCCTTTCCAGGACAACCCGGTTGTGCAAGCGCCGCTGCTACATTCCGCCTAGCTACTGCTGCCAAAGCCGGGGGATGGCCGGATTCGCGGCCCTCCTCGTGCAGATCTGGTCTCCGCAGATTCCATGGACCAGTATTTTTGTGTCTCGATCGGCTACTGCAACCGCCCTTTTGCACCTTGCATCCCCCCCGTTTGTTCCTGCTGCTCGTGCCGGCTTTTTGGACATTTTGTTCCGACCGAACCAGATGGATGTCCCTGGTTGATCCCGTAACATCGCTTGCAGCCAGCTAAGACACCGAAGCTAAAATCAAGGGGTTTGCTCCATGGCTTGTGCGAGTTTGCAAGGTTATGCAACAGTAACTGCGTGCTTACTCTCTGCATCAGTCACATGTCAACAGGAGAGTAATGC